AAAGGATAAAAGCACTGACTTGTACATCGGCGCTGGTCATCGCAAGTCATTGTATAGGCCACAATGCATTCAATACGCCACTATGATTCTGAATGGAAGTCGTATGCGGGACGCACCCCTCAGAAGGGATTGTTCAACGCCCAAAGACTTCATCCTTTTTTATAAGGCGCCAAAAGATCTGGAGGTTGCTTTTGGGGGAATAATTGAAAGTTGTGAAGCAACGAAGGCAAAAGATTCAAGGCAAGGAATGTATAGCCAGATGTTTTCTGTGTCACTCGAGCCTATATACTATATTGGCCGAGAGCGCGCTGCTTGGGTGTCTATCGATTGAGCTATCGAGCTGCGTCGCGTGCGCTCGCTACCAGGTTGCCTATTTGAGGAATACAGGCTACGTTTAATCCAAAAAGGTAAAAAAAAAGATTGGGACCCTTTGGGTGACGCTTCATTCCACAAAGAGTTTTTACATAAATTTTTTTCTGTAAGGTAATAAATAAAAATGAATTGTGATGTGGGGAATCGGTTTTGATTTTTGAGACCTGAAGGTTGACCATAGAAAGGTTCCAAGAAATGCAGGAACTCACGCTATCCATGCTGTATGTTCGATGAGCATTTTCTTGCCGCCGTTGAAGGCTTTGAACGGATCCTTGGAAATTTGAGAGCCGTCGCTTGATGTCGATGTTCATGGGTACATCTTTGCCGACAATTGTTGACGAGTGGGGAGGTAGTTCGTAGATTTTCTCCCAATCATTAATATCTGAAAAGTCCAGCCTTACTAATGCCATGTTATGTTTTCATTTAAATGTTTACTGGAAACTATCCCACTTGGTTCAGATCGTCCTGGAGTGATTCGTTTGCCATTACGTTCCACTGCTTGAGGTGGCGCATCTCGATAACCTATAATATCAATCAATAGCTATGATTGTAATTCAAAGGGTATTTGGGAAACATGCCTCGTTCGAGTTTGTGATAGTTCCGTTGATGAATCACTTCGACTTGTTCCTGATCTCCATTGTTTACCGGGGCCAAGAGACCTTGAGCTGATGCTGGTCGACGTCTTACGACCTAAACCATTTGGCTAGGCATAATGTAAATGGGTTATCTACGAGGAACAAGGCGGATTTTAAAGTCCAGTGTATGTCTTATACAGTAACCCAAAGACACACTCAAGCGCACCGTCACATATACGAAGCAACAAAAGGTATCTTGGATGTGGGCCACGAGATTCGCGATGAGGCATTAGGGGTGCTGTCAAGGGACTTCAAAGCCGGCTTGTACAGGAATATGCCTTGGATATGTCTGTAGGTCTAATATGTCTCTAGAGTCGCTCAATTGATATGATGACAACAAGCGGCTCTAAGATCAGCTAATTCGATATAATTCGCTTATGGACCCGGTCCTCGGAAACCGACTCGAAAGTCTTTTGTGCCACGCTCGTCCTATTTTGGATATGGCAATTGATTTTTAACCCCTTCCCATTAAAAGCTGTTGATCTTTGGTTGTTTACGGAAATTGTGAAAATTATACCTTTACAGCATTGGGAGCATGCGGGTAGAAACCACCGCTAGGCGCCTTTCTTTCCTTTCGGAATGCTGGTTTCGGCCGATGACTTCCATCAGGTGATGGCTGAAATCAGATCATTCAAGTCTAAAATGTAAAGATAGGAGCATCTGTATTCAAAATCTACCTGTATGAGGTACTTTGTTTGACGTTTAGCTGCTTCGTCCAAAGGTCCCGTGCCGTGTCCTCTTATCGGTGACAACGGAGGAGTGTTGGTTGGTGTGAAGTTTTTACGCTCTTTTCTATAACCAGGATCGGTCACCACTGGAGCCCAATGGTATTCTGCATTGTCCGCGGATCTTGGGCCTCCTGAAAGCATAAGTTTGCACCAACTTGCTTTTCAGAGCCTTGAAAAAGCCGAGCTAGAACTTCTTTAGCATTCAGGCATATCTACATCTTTCAGAAGTTGTTTTCTTGTTTACGAGGATTGCAAATAAGGAAACAGCCTTTGAACCGTCAAATAGAGTAGATGCAGTTGGGGAGGAAGCAGTATTACCTGTAGGGTAATCTATTTCTGGCAGTTGAACGTCTACAGATCCAGGTCGAGGGAACGTTGGCCATATGTACGGTTTCTCCGGTGGTGGCTGCCATCGCCGCCCTGTTCGTATGATCTCAGGTGGCTCTTCGGGTTTCTCTACAAATGCTGCTCGGCGCTGGAAAAAGCGGGAGAATCGTGCAGACAGTGTTCGATAATGAGAGAGATCTGAAGGTGAACCAACCTTAAGAATGTCCACCTCGTAGTGTTCTTTCTCTAACAACATCTCGCTATTCAAAATTTCATTTTTGGCCACCTGAAAAGTTGGAATTCATGGAGGTAGTACGCTTCCGTCATAGGTTGTTTCTTTATTTCTGGTTCACTTACCTCCCGTGGTTTCTCAACGACATACGTCCTTCTCCAGGTATTGTGCGGTACGGAATCACCATGATCAGAAGGTTCCGAAAGTGCCGAAATAGGCCTTGTTTCATAAACCCGCATTCGATGCGGATCCGGGCCGAAGTCCTTAAGCAGAAACTTTTATTTGTCGACATTGCAGTATTCATGATTCGTTTTTCTCAAGTACCTCTCTCTAAATTCCGAGTAATATTAGGTTGTAAGGAAAGTTCTGGCCGTTTCCACGCACGCGCCATACGAATTCAAATTTTGGCGGCTGTCCATTTAGACTAATCGACATATTGTGTTCCTTAATTAAGTCACTAGTTGCTTTTTCTGTCATAGCTCTTTCCCCAAAGTCTGTAAGGTTTTGGGATCCTTAGGAGGTTCATTTTGGCAGAATGGATAAGACTGTTTTTTGACGGTTTTACTTCACGAGTTCAAACTTGGTCGAACTGCGAACGATGCAGCCACAAACATTAACGTTGTATGGGGAGAAGGCACTACATCGGAGCGAACGGTTTGTCGTTGGTTTCAGAACTTTAGAAGTGGAGACGGGTCAGTGAAAGACGAAGAGCGAGTTGGTCGACCATCGTTAGTTGATCACGATGTTTTGCTAAGGGCAGTGGAAGGGGATCGACGTCAACCTCTGAGAGAGGATACCAAGAAGATGGATGTCTCCCAGACAGTCGTTGCTGCCCACCTCGAGCTGCTTGGAATAGTAAAGAAGCTTGACAAGTGGGTGCCACACGATTTCACGGAGCAGCA